TCTTTCCTGAGCACAGGCTCAGTCACTCAGGAGGCTGTAGTATTTTCCCAGTAACATGCTACAAAGATGCTAAGGTTACTGACCTTTCTTAACTTGCTTTATAACTTTGTTTTATTTCCTCACTATCTCTAAACCCTCTTTTTGCTCCTGGACTGGTTTTCCACGAGGGCAGTCTGACCTTACCTTTTTTCACCCCCTAAACTGTAATAGAAGCAGATTATACATAAGTCCCATTCTGCAGTGTCTTTTTGGTCTGTTTTGGCATACCAAGGCACCTGGCATCATGGACAGCTGCTTTGCCTTTGTATTGAGTGAGAAACCATTCTTAGACTGCAGACCAGGGCTACACAACTTGGCTTAAGCACAAGGAAGATTAACATCCCTAAGAAACCCAGATGCAATGGAAGGCACTTAACATTGCTTTGTGCAAACATCTATGCACGCAGAGGATGCACAAACTGCCTGTGTTAGCAGGATTAGCATGCTGACAATGCCTGCTTGATCTTTCTTCTTTCATGATCCCCAGGACCATCTGCTACCCTGCTTTCTACTGTCTGGTGCCTAGGACACACCTTACTTCAGCCAGAATGCAGGGACAGAAAGGGAAAAACTAGTATTCCCCTATGCTGCCTCCCTGTGGGGGTAAGGAAAGTTTATCCCTGAACTTTGTTGGTTCAGACGCACCTAAGACAGTTAACACTCTGTGACTGTGAACTAGCCTCCACTGAAACGGAGAGCAGTCCCCACCAATGCAATTTGGATTACATTTCCATGTAACTCCTAGCCTTGGCTGGTTATGGTTTGGTGACAAATAGGTGGAAAGCCCTTTGCTGCATCTTAAGTCATTCACCAGCATGAATAACTTCTACAACACTTTATTCAATGCAGAAAGAAGGAATTACAGTGTAAGTGGATTTAAAAATTACTGTGAGGTTACCTGAGCACTGTCATGGTCTAGAAACAGTATTTGTACCTTTTATAGTTCAGTTTTCTTCTCTATGCATGGAAACTCTAACAAAAAACAAGTGTGTACCAGAGATGAGACAATTCCCCAACTATAGCACCTTCAACAGACAGAACTTTTGCAAGAAGAGGTTGCAACAAGAGGCTCAGTGGTTGCTGGTTTACCTCCTACAAGCATTTTTTGCTAGGTTTGCTCACTGCTTCCTACATCCAATCTCTGGAGAAGTGCACTCCAGCAAGCAGTAGATCTTTTAATCATTCTCAAAATGAATTAGTGCTGCTTATGATGCTGCTGTCTTTCTTAACCTCTCTGACTGCTGGTCACAAAACTCGCCAGAGAACCTACAACTGTCAGACTGCCAGAAATTATAGGCCACAGGAAATGTTCCTAATGTTATGAAACATCATAGAACACAGAGAATAAAACAAAAAATCCACTTATAGAACCATAAGCTGAAAAGATGAAGGATATCTTCTCAGGGATGAGACAGACATGATCTCACTGAGTAGTGATGTGTTATATGTTCCAAAGTGATACAATACTGTCATCGTCTTCTATGCTTTCTGCAACATATAGAAAATTGTCATGTACCATCTGAAATCTCACCAATACAGTGCTCTGGAAAGATATCCAGGCACAAGGTGGTAAAAGTCAAACTGAACACTTAAGGAAAGATCCCTCCAAGAAACAGAGGAAGTGCATGGCAGCACAAGCATGAGGCTGATTCAGGTCTAAAGAGCAGCATGAATGACAGTATGAAGAAAAGAGATGCTGTAGATCACAGTGATAGCAAAAGCACACCACCGGAACATGCCCAGAGGCTAAACTGGCTGTTGAGGACACAAAAGAAGTTTGCTTTCTGCTTGGATCCCCATTGGCTGGTGCAGTTTTTTCAGCCCTGGCAGAGCAGGCTCTGCTGGTATATCTAGCAGCAGTGCTCGTGAATGGGCAGAGAGAAAGGCAAGCACTGGTGGTCTGTCAGGCTGGAGGATGGAGCTGAAGATGTTGCTAGTCTTCACCGTGTTTCTGCTTCACGCTGTCCTGGGTTTCCCTATTCAGGTGAGAGCTGTTCCACGTGGCCGTGCTTGGTCTTCTAATTGACCTCTTCCTCCTGGAGTGGAGCTGTGGAGACCCACTTTGATTTTTCCTACAAGGAAAATATTAGCAATATAATACTATATGAACCCAATCTAATAATGCAGTTTCTCCCTTTGGCCTTATTTTATGCTATTTTTGCTGCATTTATGAGCTATGGAAAACTAATGCCTTTTACTTATTGGTTTTACAGGAGAACTACGAAAACATCACAGCAAGTAAGTAGGATTTATACTGTATTTTAAAGACAACTATAAATTCTTGACTATGTATCACACACTTTGATGGTGTGTGACTGGACTTTAGAGTACGTGAAAGCACTGGCTAAGGTCTTTTGAATAAGGCCGAGTCTCCTAATTTATTATTCAGCTGAGTGGAGAAGTGTTTTCACACAAATGTGTGCTCTACACATACTTTTGGGGTATGGTTTGTTGGGTTAATTTAGGTATGTTTTCACAGGCTTGAAAATATCATTTTAATAAGTTGTTTTGATACCTTTCCGTTAAGTTAAATGTTAGAAAAATTCTGCTACTCATTTGTCTCCTTGCCTGTCTTGGTGCAGTAGTATAAGAAAAGGATATTTAGGTGTCAGAGAAAGCTGTGCTTTATGCTTGGATAGAAAATAAATAATACAGGCTTAGCTGAACAGCTTTTGTCAACTCAAAAAATATAGGAGGTCATTGCAGATCTCCAGAGTAGGTCAATGAAATATATATCTGTATATCTGTAGGAAGACTTCACGGCAAGAAACCGCCAGGTTGGAGGTGATGTGTTGTGAGAGGATGAGGCTTTGGAAAAATTTGTTTAATATACTCAGAGCAAGTAAGCGGCTAATGAAAACTAACCAATTCTCCTTTTGAGCTGTCGTTTATGACAAGGAAGCAAAGGGATGTTGTAAAATTACTGCTCAGTGTATTTGGAGCCAGTCAAGGATTATGCTTGCTTGAGTTTAAAGTTGCTGGGACACAAAGTTGCAGGGTTACTGGGACAAACACATACAATGAGGTTTAATTTACCTTTGTTAACTGCTTTTTGTGTCTTTTGAGACATCTTTTAGTATTTACAGTGCAGGGAAAAAGTGAACTGTATAATTTTGAAAGCTGTATCACACCAAATGTTCGTTTGATTGAGGACATGGCAGATGCCTTCTGTGATGAATCATTTCGGTTTTAAAAAGGGGTTGCAGGCCTTATGTGCCTAGGAATCTAGAGCCTAATTTCTGCTTTGACTAGTCAATTAATCTAGTGCCTCTTGGGTGCATGAATTCCATCTCTAAAATGTGCTTTCCTGCAGATTTTTTTTAGATGCCACTGGTGGGAACTGACTGAACTTTTCTATAATAAACCACCATCAATACTTTCATTGCCATCTAACTGAATTAACAGCCTGGGAGGACAGACTGAAGCCTCTTCATCTTTATAAAAGCAATTCTGTTGCAGATTTTAGATTCTGAATAGAAGGAAGTCTCAGTACATTTGGGCAATAACCACTGCAAAGAGGGAAAGGTGCTGAAAGGTGTGACAGAGCTTGGCACTTCTTCTGTTGAAAAAACATGACAAAAAAGATAAGGAACACTGATAGACTTAGAAATAAGAACTATTTGCATAACTGTTCTCTGTGTCAGTGTTGGATAGGAAAAAAAATAATGGCTTTAAATCTTAACAAAGAAGCGTGCAATTACTGGCAAACTAGAAGAGGTTGCCAGAAAGGCTTGCGGCATATCCATCATACTTAAGAACAGGTCAAACAAACTGTGGTCAGGAATAACAGATAAAACTGTTTCTGCCTTAGGGAAAGCAGACAAACTGGATGACCTCTAGAGGTCCTTGCAATTTCTTAACTTTTATATTATAACAATGAAGTTTCTGCTCAGAAATGTATACATCAGATCAGATTTTAACTTCCATGTTTGTATCTAGAAACTGACATTTGGTAGAAATCAAAAGACCTCACACTAGAAAGACACCTTAGGATTCAGAATGGTTTCAAACTGCTGTCATGTACATACCGAAGCTGAGATTATTTGCCCCATGCTAAATTATAGCCTTCATTGCACTTTGTAGCTTTACTCTTTGACATTGTGAAACCAGAGGGGATTGTTGAGCTAGTTAGCCTGCACCTGTTGTAGTGAAACCTAGGGAAAAAGCGTATTCTTGTCCTTAGTTTCCTTTGTCATTTGCCACACTGAAGCTGATAAAATGCTTTGCTGATTCTTAGATCGTAAATGACCAGGATTCTTCCCCTCTGCATGATCTACTAGGAATTTTCATAGCTGTTTGTCTGAACATCAATTTCTGTGCCTGTGCATCAGTCAGTGTACCACATTTGCCTCCAAGCAAAGGGACCGGCCAAAGGCATTGCCATGGCTGAGGAGGCCTATGCTATTAAACACTGAAGTTGCAACTGGAATTTAATTTGCCGCTTTTGCTTGTCTTTCTTCTTCTTTTGCAGCAACAGAACCTACTGAGGTAAGGATTGCTAAATCAGCTCTTTTCATTACTTTGGGGTTCAGCGTTGTGCAAAGTGAGATCATGACTCATGTACTCCACATGTACCTCCATGTGTGCAGGAAACTATTCTCAGATCAACAGTGTAACAGTAACAGTGAGCAGTTTCCATCCCTATTCTATTTATTGCTCCACAATGCCCTGATATATCCCAGGAAGCTTTTCTTTCTCTGGGGTAATGGAGAAAACTCAAAATTGCTTTTTATTTATACAAGACAAGGGCAGTATGGCAATCTGTTTTGCTACAGACATGACCCCCACAGCTGAGTAGCAGCCCCACAGTTCCCTAGAAGCAGTACGTACCACGGCCTTTCACCGCTCTGCTGTGAGGTGATTCTGGGAGCATGTAATTGGTGGTCATCAACCTTGCACTCCTACTAGCAGGGATGTAAATAAAGCTGGAAGGTCTGAAACTTACTGCACACTTCACATTGCATTTCTTGAGTCTCCTACACTGATTCCTTTTATGATATCTATATTTGTCAAGATATCAAAGAATATCTACCACACCATGGTAGTTCTCTACATATGGCCCAGTATATAAAAGCTCAAGACTGCACTGGTGAAAGATATTTTCAGTGGTACCCTGGACACCTTTGACCCTTTGCATGTTATATTATTTAATATTTGTGTTATAATATAAAGTGTGGGATAATACTAATGCATCATTCTTGCAGGTTACTACACAAGAGGATATATATGGTATGTATTGTACCATGCAATTTTAAGCATTTGATAGGATATACTAATTGTTAGCTACCCAGTTTTTCCCAAAAATAACACATGCTTAACACAGATTAATCTCAAGGAAGAAATTTTAAATGAATGCACTCACCATAATATTTCATGCAAAGCAGAGTGTCTTGGTCTTGGACCATTGCTTGGCCTTGCTAAAAACCTCAGCTTGTTGCTTTTGCTAAAAATAGCTCTACTTAAATAATCTCCTTATTTAAGCCTCTTCCAAAGGTTACAGAAAGCACAGAGGTCATATGCTTGTGCTTTTTATTGATGTTAAGATTTATTGCATGATGCTTAGATCCATGGAATAGGAATGAAGTTTCAATTTCATTAGTTTCATAGGTTTTTCAAGAGGTCAGCATGTTTAGCAGCAAGCAACAGGACTGCCCTCCATCCTTTTTTGCTCCTGTTGTCTTATGTTGGGGATTAGAGTGTGAACTGTGTATGTGGAAGGAAAACTGAGCCCTCTGAGTGCACAGAGGAAGCCATGCAGCCAGCTGGCCACTTGTAGGGGACAATACAGACTTACAAGAGCCAAAGGTCCTGCCTTTAAAATGTGATGGCTAGGGAAAAAACCAAACCAAATGAAACCAAAACCAAACAAACTAATAAAAACCTCCAAACAAACAAAAAAAACAAAACAGAAATGAGAGAGAAAGATTGAAAGAGAACAGCTTTTGGGACTGGATTAATGCTGAACTAACTACAGCTGTTGGGAGGGTCACAAGATTGTGTCACTGAGCAAATACCTATGTGACTGAATGCCATGCAAGTCCCTAAATAGGCTCTGTAAGTTTTGCATGCATCACTGTAATCAGGACCTGATCTAACTGAGCTCCTGCAAACTCATCAGGTTAAAAATCAGTATTCATATTTTCCCTGGGAATGAGAAAGTGATACTCTTGTATTTCTGCTCAGAATCTCCACTGCCTACAGAGACTGACTCCGAGGATGAAGTTATTTTTAACAGAATTCTGGAAGTTAACAAAGGTAATGTCATCAAACCCTGCTTATAATGGGTCTTTCTTGCTTTTTGGGGGCGATGAGGGGGTACAATATCTTACCACAGCCTGTGCAAATATTTTTCCCATCTTACACACAGTCATGTAAGAGATGTTCAGAGACAGGCCACAGGGACTACTTTGTCTGTGTGGTCTACTGAAGCCCCATGGTATCTCAAATCTGTCAATACTGAAGATGATACTAAGTGTGGAGGCAACTGAACTATCCAGGCAGCTTCTTCAACCTATAGCTCTTGACCTCTTAGATAATCTATGGTCAGTTCCATACTCCCTGCTCCAGACTTTCTGTTCCTTGATTCTTCTGAACATTTTCTTTTCTATCGGCTTGTCTTTCTCACAATTTTCTCTGCTAAGAGAGTCATTCAAGAAGGTTTACTACTGTCTGTAGAAATAGACATCAAACATTCCTACAGATTCCTAGACAGCACTCCTCTTTTTGGTTTGCTTGCCCTCTTGGGTTTGCTTCTTGGTATCTCCTGCCTTTGCTCAGCACCTTTCCTGGGCAGATATCTGATGCTATTCATTCAATGTCACATGATGAGTGAAGAAACAGTACCAAAGTATAGCATCCCTCTCATTATTGCAACTGCTTTCAGTCATTCCCTGTCTTGCCTCAAGTCAACCCAGCAGAGTTGGAGCTTCTGACATCTCCTCTTAGTTAAGGCCACAGCAGCAAAGACAGGGAAGCAGGTAATGTCCATCTAGCCCAATAGTCCATTTCTCACGCTAGCCAGGAGCAGATGTCTTAGGAAAAAATACAAAAGAAGGATGGGCAGAGACCGACACTTTTCCTAGTGCTTAGCCAGCATCCAGCAACTGATGGCTCAGATTTTTCCACCCTTTCTCTCTCACCATAGACAGCTCTCAGTACTTGCAAGAAGGTGATATTGTTCTACAAAGGAGACGCAGTGCCATCAACTGTCGCAATTGCAATTGGCCTCAGTCCAGTGATGGAATTGTTCGTATTCCCTATGTCTTGGATTCTGCTTACGGTGGGTGTAAATTTCCATAATATTTTTTTAATGCATTTTTTCCAATATGCTTCCTGTAGAAACCTACTTCTTGTGGCCACACACAGTTGATTAAATCAATTCTAAGGATTTACTTGTGCTGTGCCAGAATAGATGAACTTTAAATTACAAAGACCTGAAAAGGAACAAGAAAAGAGAACAATTTTTCTTGAGAAATTTGCATCCATAATGTTTTGGGTCTGGTCTTTTGGAGGCAAGAATGATAACTCCCTCTAATGGTACCTGCCAGAATTCCTGCCTTTATAAGTTTCATGCCTGTTGCAGTGTGGTTTGAATGGCCTACTTTTCATTAGCAAAATAGCTTCCCATAGCAGCCTCCAAGCGTACAATCAGAAGATACATCAACAGTCACTGCTATAATTTAAAACAAGTAGTTGAGAAAAAAAGGCTTCCACCTGAAACCATGTGGATGAATTTTAGATAAAGAGAATCTTGTGCCAGGCTATCAATATCTTAAATGAAATTCATTACTGAGCAAAAGGCAAGAGCGAGCCCAGGCTAATGTTTCTGTGTCTCATTTACTCTATTTTTGAGCACACTTGAGATTTTAGTGTCACCTGCCATTGTCCTTGTTTGACCCCAAAGTTAACCCTTTCTTCTCCAGAGGAGAACCACATAAGGGGGATTGAAGATGCCATGGCAGAATTTGAAACACTGACTTGTATTAATTTTGTGAAGCGCAAGACAGAACGTGATTACCTCAACATTAAATCTGCTGATGGGTGAGTTGAATGATAAATTAACAAGTTATTTCTACATTGCTTTTCAATCTTCACTACACTTATTCTGTGTGACGTTAGAGAGGAAAAACGAATGGATTTAGAGAAGAAACTTAATGATTTATCACAGTGCCAAGGTATCATCTTTGGATACCATGCTAGTGCAAGGACTCAGCAGTTACATCAGGACTTACCGAAGACACTGAAGTGAAACAGATCATGGGAAGGCAGCATTAAGGAGGAAAGAATACCTAAGCTCATGTTTTCTGTGTGGTATAATGCACACTTGAACACAACATATAACAGATTACTGTAGGCTTTGTTTGCACAGGCAAAACCAATTTCAATTTATGAAATAAACAGTTCTCTGAATCACACCATTGGCTGTCAGTGTAAGAACTAGAGTCTATGAAAGAATTGTTCAATGCCCATTAGCTTGCAAGTGCTATTCATCTTGTCTCCAGCTCTGATACAGGGTTCAGTATTTTGAAAAAAGTTATATTATTTCTGGGGAGTTAAAGTCACTGTGTACAGAAAGCCAGAATGCAGGAGCCTTGTTGCTAGTGAAAGTCTTCCAGGCAACTTTAGTGGTGACCACACTTTGTTGTTTTCTACACCATGGTCAGTTTTGTCCTTCTGTAGACTCTGGTTATGAGAGTGAACAGGAAGGAATCCTTCTACATATGTGAAGCAAGGTTCTTTGTACTGTCCCTTTGCATGCCTTACAATAAAGATCCCATAAATCTTCTATTCGATGCCTCTCTCAGCTGCTGGTCCCACTATGGAAAAGTAGGAGGTGGACAGACTCTCTCTGTAATGAAAGGAGGCTGCATGTGGAGAGGAATAATTCAACATGAACTGGACCATGCTTTGGGCTTTTTGCATGAACATTCTCGAAGTGACAGGGATAGACATGTAAAGATCATGTGGGAGTACATCAGTCCATGTAAGTACCTTTGAACTCCTCAATGTAGAAAGTGATGTTGATGCATCCTACTTTTCCCAGCTCTTCCTTCTTCTGTGAAGGGAGCAGATAGGAAGCATATTCTAAGTACAATATCATCTGTTACAGCTGACAGATCAGATTTCAGGAAATTTGAAAACTCCAATAACCTGGGTCTTCCATATGACTATTCCTCAGTAATGCACTATGGCCCGTAAGTAGCAGCACAGCATTGCTTCTGTTGAAACTCTCACCTTTCTTACATTAGAATTAATTTCTATAATAACTCTTTCTTAACTAACAGTTTCCCCATTTTCATCTATGAGAAAACACTGAGATTAATTCATTAGCTTTCCTTTATGGAGCTAGTCACTATCGAGCTTGGGGGCCAAAAGAGGCCCTCACTGTTAGTCAGAACAACAACTTGTGTACAATTCTTGTTCTCCCTCCAAAGCATGCCATTAAGTCCTGGAAGAAGTAATTGTAATTAAAACCCAGAATTTTTCATGGTTTTTTTTGCAGATACACATTCACTAATACCACCGGGCAACCAACTATTGTACCAATTCCTGATAGATCAATACATATTGGACAGAGGCTTGGACTGAGCAACTTGGACGTGGCCAAAATTAACAAACTTTACAATTGCAGTAAGTAACTCAAAGCCATCCTTTCATCTTCTACTCAGATCCTTCACAGAGATGTTTAGGCACACTGCACAGGCACCAGTTTCTCATCAAAGACTGTAAGACTGTTCTCCTAAATTCATGGTACCCATTAGGGTTACTCTGGGAGAGAACACAAAGGGGAAGCCGGAGGCACATTGTGACTAGTGAAAAAAGCTTTCTGCTTCCAAACGAAAACAAAAACACTCACTGTTGGCATAAGTGGCTGCTGTGCAACTGGCCACGTTGTATGCTTCACTGGAGTAATTTGGTTTCTTATAGCTTGAGAGACAACTATAAACCCCACAAAGAGCCAGATATCTCTGTTCCTCTTTGCAATTGACATTCTAAATCTGTATGTATTTTTAACTCTTTAATTTTAACCCCTGCTAAAAGAAATTTTCCAAAACAGAGATATTTGTTCAGTCAAAGGGAAAAAAACCACGATAAATAATTAACCCTTGCACAGAGGAAAGCCCATGTCCTTCTCCTAAGCTTAGCATTTATTCACTGCAGAGACATGATATTTGCACATGACTCTTCTAACATCACTTGACTTCCCCATCTCAGTGGAAAACAATGTCACCAATTGCAGAGAATTGAAACCTCATTTTATAAAGGTGCAGAAAGACACCCTTAGCTAGATGATGGAGCTAATAAATAAAAGCAAATGCTTTTTCTGCACGCTAGTTTACTTTCCATTTTGATGCAGATACTTACGCATTATATGAAAATTAGGACAAAATGATTCTTCATTTTAACCAAGATGTACCAGCACCCTGAAATGAATGCTGGCAGATCAGAAAATAGAGACCAGTCCATTCTGAAGAGATTGTAATTGTAAATGTGTGGAAGTTTCTGCAAGCCTGGTGATGAAGCAAGCATTGTTTCTTTCTCAGGTCGCTGCAGCACTATTCTTGATACAATATCTGGGACACTGAGATCTGCCAACTACCCAAGAAATTACTCGGATAACACCAACTGTGTCTGGCTAATCCGAACCCGACATAGAAAGGTAATCACAGGTTAATAGTGGTCTTGGAATATGGCTGAACTTCTTTCTGTGTTAACCATTTTGCGCTTTGTCTGCATACCAGTTGCCAGGTAAGGTATTTTCCATGAGGGAGATTTCAATCTAGTCTTTACTTCTTCTTCATGTCCTTAAGCCAAGTATGGGCAAAGAGAACTGCAAAGTTATGATTTTGAAAAGCCCTGATACATTGGGCTTCAGGTTTGCAAAATCAAGGCAAAGCAGTCTCAGTATGGGAGCACTGAGTCATGGGCCCATTAGATGTAAACCCTGCAGCTTCAGGGCACGAGTGGCAAGGCTGGGTAAGCAGTTTTAAAGGACACTCCATGAAAGAAGTTACATGCATATTAAAGGCCGGTTTTCTCTTCCCTTCCAGATTACTCTGCACTTTCAAGCCTTTGAGCTGCAGACAACCAGAGGCTGTCAGGGTGATTACGTTAAAGTTTATGATGGATCCAGCAAGTCTTCTGCAGTTCTAATGGACAAGACCTGTGGATCAAAGATACCCAAAGACGTAGCGGGTTCTAGTAGTCATATGCTTATAGAGTTTGTCACAGATGGTGCTGATACAGCTTCTGGTTTCCAAGCCAGCTTTACTTCTGGTAGGTCTGAAAACAAGGAGAATGGCAAAGTAAAACTGTGTCAGATCAGTAGGTGTTCTACCTTCCTCCTCACATGACATTTGAAAAAACATTGTTTGAGGAGCTGATCTCTGCGAGAGCCTCCAATTCCTACCATACTTTTGATATAATGGATCGGTCCTACATGATAATATTTATTCATGCAGGCAGATTGGGCTACACTCAGGACAAGAAGTGTTAGCCAGGTGATTCACTGTTTGCCTTGCCTCTCTCATATATGCCATTCCAAAACATTAAAGGTGTGATCAATTTATTGTTACTGCTAGTGTTACTGGCACAGTCAAATGAGAATAAATCATGTAATGCTTAACACATTGCTCCTCTGAAAAAGATGCAGTTTTTCATAACACAGTTCAGAGGGCGAGACAGATCTATGGTGAACCGGGTCACCCATCCCCATAGCAAGAAGAGAGGCAGTATTTCTGTGGTCAGGAACCCTGGAAAATACCGACCTAAACGCCACCACATTTTCTTCAGTACTATTTAATTAATGACTAAGGCCACCACTATACAAATAAGTTAGCACAGGCTTCCAAGTTAGCATGTATCAGCTGGAATAAAGAAATGCCTGTGTGCCTATTTGTAGACTACAGCAATTGTATAGTAGTGCAGCTTGCCTCAGTTAGTACAAAAGAAAGCTCAGCTATGTCATATGACCTTGTATTTGCCATGGGATAAGAACAAGCACACAGAGAGTTTGCATAAATTCACTGAAATGTAGTAACTTAACTGTATAGCCAAACCAAACCAGCAATTTTGCATTCTCTCTACGTAGTACTTGTATCTGTCTGTTGTAGCTATGGAAGGAAAGAAGAGTAAGAAAACTCTACATGCCACTTTGATATGTCATCAACTATAAAATTCTCGTTGTCAGATAAAATGTGATTTAACCTTTACATACTTCAGAGATACTGCAGTTTGTTCAGAGAGCTCTGAAAGCTAAATATGTTCTCATTTCACTTACAGTGAGGACCCGAAGAAGACCTTAACGGCCACAACTGATGCAACAAAGATCCACCTAGTCTGTGAATATTGAAATTATGTGTTTCCTACTTTGCTCCTCTCCTGGCTTGGATCAGTACAAAATCTAATTCTATTAGGAATCAAAGTCTTCATCTTCCTGAGAAAGTTTATTCCCCAAGCCATATAAATGTATGAATCTTATACATACAGTTCTCCCCCTTTTGTCTGCACAGTTAAGTTATTACCTCTTTCTATTTAACAACTGAAATAAAAGCTTCATTTAAAAAAAAAGTTTCCATTTCCATTTTTCTGTAGTCCCTTCCAGCCATGCACACTGTCAATGCAGTGTTACTTCTTAGCCCCCTTCATTCAGCCACAGGATATCGCTTATTGATATCCTCACAGGTTTAGTTAGTTGGCTGAAAACTTTACAAATTTATTTTATGATCTTCACAGTCTTGAGCATAAAAGGGTCTTGGATACAGCCTCTTTTCCCAGCCTAACATTCAAGCTTCCAAAAATGCCATTTCTCTTAACAAACCTGCCATATCCTTATATTGCAAGAAAGATGGATAGGACAAAAGTTTTGCCTGTAAAAGACTGGTACTTCCTATTGCAGTTTTCATTGTATGATACTGGTTGGCAGAGGCCAGCTAAGGGTGCTTGTCTATCCACTAGCCAATTTTAGTCCACAGATAGCCTATCACAGGACAGGAGGTGGACTAGATAACGCTGCCAGATTTCATGCACATTTTCAGTTGTTCAGGGAAGAAACTTTTTGTCAGGCAAGCTAAACTCTCCTCTGGTCTTATAAGGAGGACTGAGAGCTGTAAGAGCTCCTGCAGAGTTTGTTTCACAGCCTTTGCCTGCAATCACACTTTTAAAATGACATGTCTTTGACCATGACAAGCTTGCAACAGATCTGAGAACAAAAAAGGCTGCTATTTTACTCTGTAGCACAGGCAGATAGTTAAAAGTGTGACTAACCTAGGTATTCAGTACTTGTATGTATAAGTCTGAAAAAGTCAAATACTTTTCCTGTTCCTACTCCGTAACATTAGGAACCTTGGAACTTTTCTCACTTTTTCTAGAAAAGAACAGTGGGAAATTAATTTGAATCTCAGCATAAAATTTATACATCAAACACCAAATGATGCATTTCTTTTGTCAAGGAAGGCACCAGAAAGACTTAATTTGCAAGAATGTGCTCAAAACCCTGTCTGTATTTACATTGTTTGATGAAAAATCATCATTTGATGTTAGAGAAACTTTAATTCCATTGAAGATTGCTTCTTTATCTGCTGTGGAAATACCTCTGAAGACAGCAATTTTGAGACTGCTTTAGAACAGACAGTTCTTCAGACACTGCAAGTCAGGTTCAGCTTCAGATATGTTTTTCTAGTTATTCTCAGCAGTAAAGTGTTGCTATCACCACATCATAAAAGGAGTAGTCCTTCTGCAAGATTGTTAAAAATGCAGTTCTAGAAAAAAAAATATTTGACAGCTGTGATTCCTGAGCCTCTACAAAACAAAATGCAGGAAATAATACTTCAAAGCCAGAATCTACTGGCGGGTTGGTGAGCCATCCTACCCTTTTTTTTTTTTTTTGAAGAAAAAGAATAATTTCAGGTGGAATCAAAGTGTTCCAAAGAGGTGATGGAAAGACAGATTCAGGTGATTTAGGCTCTTACTTTAAGTTTTTACTTAGGTTCTTACCTATTACTCTTTAGGAGGAATAGTGATTTCAGTAGACAAGCTTTGGGGAAAAGAGCCCTGAAATACTGCTGGCAATGACTGAGAATTTAATAATTGCTAAAATAATTAATAGGCTTGCTTTTTAAGGGAAATGAAAGTAACTCATATTAAGAAAAAAGTGGACATTAAGAGCCTATGGTTTCCCCTTCTCATTCCACTGGAAGAGGAGCCACTTCCCCACCAAGAGGCAGACAGCAAAGTCCAGGCCCGTGTGGGGTTGGTCTGATCCATGTTTCACAGGGTTGGAGTAAAGCTGGTCACAAAGACTGAGACAAGGTGTGTGTAACCACTCACTTGCCCCAGGGCAACTCTCCACAGATTGCAGCAGCTCAGGATGTTGTGAGCTGCCCAGGGCAGTCACTGATTCCACCTGGCCTCCCAACCATTAGGTGATGAGTACAGGGACAGCAGTACTAGATAGCCTGTCTGTCTGTATGTCTGTAAATGTTTTCTGTGCTAAGGAGTTTCACATACCCTTGCTGTGACCACAGATTTTCCCCTCGCCCACCAATCTCAACCTGAGGGTAGAAGCCACTCTGTTCAGAGGGATCATATCTCCACCTGTTGCCCTATAGCACAAGCGTAACCTTTCTTTCATGTAGGTGAGGTTTTTTTCTCCAACATTGGGGACACACACTAGGCTACAGACAGAGCAGCAGGACTGCTGGTGAAAGTAACCTAGGAATAGCTTCATGAGGCTACTACTGAGTGGGTCCAGTTCTGGTTCCAAACTCTCACTGCCAGACACACACACAGAGCCATGTCTGCATCCTCTCCCTCATCCTTGATCACCTTCAGAAGAAACATCAGATAATGCAGCAACATCATCTTCAGAGACACCATCTTGCCAGAGAAAATGCCTTCTGGGCAAGGGAGTATTTAAACAAGGAAAGCAGTATCATAAATCACAGCTGGGGTTTTCCCAGACCCATATCCAGGTGTGTGCAGTCTCCTCTGGGACAGCAGGCATCTCCCTCAAGCAGTGCTAGTCTGGGAGCTATTTCAGCAGAACAGAGTACCATATATATTGTGAGGCTTCCCTGCAGGTTTCTTATCCTGGGGTGCTATCCCAGAAGGTGAAGCTGGGACTTCTGCTTCTGGTGCTCGATCTAATTCACTTTGGACATATGGAAAACTTCACATACACAAAGCCCCCCAGGGATGTGGCAGAATAACTATTTTAGAACACCAGCTCTTCCCTCAAACTACATTGATAGCAATCCAGCCAGGCCAGTCCTTGTGGAGAGATTCTTAACAGAAATATGAAGATTGTCAGAAATGTAGGGATGGAAACGTGCACATGTGAGAAAACACTGGAAGAAGCAGAAGAACAAGGGTTACAAGAACAGCCTGCATTGATAACAAGGGACATCATTCCCATGACACTGCTCTCACGACACTGCACCCAAGAGGATCATGGAGGAATGCATTGTTTATGGCATGACCACGGGATCTATACTCCATTCAGACAACAGCACAGATGACTTGTCAGTGGAATATCCTGCACTCACATGCCAGCAAGTTTGCAGCTACTAAATGCACCATTCCTTTTTCCTGTTACCCCGGCAAGAAAACAGGCATACCCTTCCAACAATGTCAATGAGGTTGTTTGAACATGAAGGGTTCTTCTATGGGGAGGCACAAGACTGTAATTCCCATGCTTATTTCAGTGGTCGTTCCCCCTCATGGTCTGAACTCTACACCAGGCATTTTGCAGGCATGGGACAATTAGACTGTGCTGTGGCTTAACCTGGCAAGCAGCTAAACACCATGAATCCACTTGCTCAATGCCCCCCTCCCTGGTGGGGTGGGGGAGAGAATCAGAGGAAAAAGGTCAGAGCACTTGTGGATTGAGATTAAAAAAACAGTTTAATGATTGAAATAAGCTAAACTAATACAGAATAACACTAATGAATTGCAATAAAAATAGGAACAACAATAATACAACAATAAAAGCTGTACTCAGTTCACACAGCAGTTACTGACCATGCACCAGCAGAAATATGACAGTCAACAAAGGGGGAAGGGTATCCTCAGGAACCAATGGGTGAGACCCTCCGGGGACAGCAGCCATCAAAGTCAGAGAGGGCACTCCCAACAAACTCCCCAATTTATAGTGAGAGTGACATTTATGGTATGAAATACTTTCTGTTGGTAAACTTGGATCACATCTGGGTCATTTGTCCTGTCCCTCCTAACTTCTTGTAAAGAAGAAGCTGAAGGAATTGGGAAGCAGTCAGATCTTGACTTAATGCAAACATTGTGTGGCAACAACCAAAGCATCAGTGTGTTATCACACCAGTCTCAGCAGATCCAAATAAAGTCTCACTAGCTACTGTGAAGAAGAATAACCTTGTCCCAGCTAAAACTAAAACAAAGTGTCTTACCAAATTGTTTTCACTATGTCAAACACTGCAATGCTCAAATCAAACTCAACCAGATTTCTCCTGTCCTCTCTTCAGCAAAAGGTGGCCCAAGCCCTCTCTGCAACAGCAGCAGGGGCACATCAGCAGCACTGTTTGCAATTTAGCTTTCCATTTAGTTGTTGAAGTTAATATCTTCACTAAACAATTAAGCTTTTTTTTCCAGGCAACTAGTTTCCGTGGAAAACATTACCTTATTAAAAGTCAATCTTTCTTAACCAGCTGCCACTTGGGTTAAGATACTGTCTTTGAAGGGGGAAGACTAAAATGCTACTTTGTGTAAATGAAGTGCAGTGCTCTATACTTTAGCATCAACATGTAGATTATTCATACAAATATATTTTAAAAAATCTGTACTGTAGGTCAAACAGTAGCCTTTGAATAAATATTTTAAACCTAATTGAACTAGAAAAGAACAAATACTATTCTCAATCTAACTGTCTAAGGGATAAAACAGTTCTGTAAACAATTTTGGTATGGAGCACTAAATAAAAAGAGAACGGGAACTGGATTTCATGGCAGAAATGAAAATCAATTCTACAGCTAGAGATTATATTTTCATTTGAGATTCTGCTCCACTTCCTCTGTAATCTTCCCCTTGAATTTTTCTTGTTGGTACATATGCTGGTGATACATCTGAAAGAATTTTAGCTTGGTCATTGAGGGGAAGTTTTTCCAGTTCACAGACTTCCTAAGTTGAGAAGGAAAATTTCTTTTCAAATATCTCTCACATTTTTATTTTATGTGAAGGATAACTTTTTTTTGCTTTATAGAAAGGCAGTAACTTGTAATCTGAAATCTCATATAGGAAGGAAGCTTTGTCTGTATGTTAGCATCTGAAAATATTGACAACCAGTACTATGTGACCAGCAAAGTACTCTAATCCACAAGCAATTCATTAATCACATCTGAGAAGTATTATATTGGGGTAATCTTCATATTTATTTATAAACTCCTGGAGCAAGCATGCAGAAAACCATACATTTAAAACTCACTGACCTAATTACATTATGTTTATCATATATTACAATTTAGTCAAGGTACTCTTAATTATACAGTATCTTCACTTAACTGTGGCCCAGTACTCAAAAGGCAATTCTGG